ACGCACGCACGCACGCACGCACGCACGCACGCACGCAGAAAAAATATATATATGCAATATATTTACATATATAATATATGTAATATATTTTTTTCTCCTTTATTGGAGAACACTGAAATCTTATCATTCGCTATTGTTTGACGCTATAGATGAAAACATCGTCAGAACAATAGACGCTGAAACCAAGCTATTCTTACACAAAATTGAGGAATTGTCGAAGTTGGTGATGGCAATGAGACAGTGGGAACCTTCACACGAGTTAGAGCTGAGTGATATCAAATCAAAACTGAAAAATTTATCGATTTCCGTCAAGCAAGATAAATGTTTGAACGCCGGTGGAAAGTTCGAATGGGTGGACAGTGTATTAGTAAAAGTAAGTGTATTCCATCACTGACAAATGTAAAGTTTTTGTCCCGACGGAAAGCGTCATTCTTATTATTAGAATTCATAAATATTTTGTTGACCAGAAAAGGAAGATGTTTTGACAGGAGCTTCTATAAAATATTTCGTCATACTCGGTGTTCGAACTTGATTTAAGCAGTCTTTATACGATGCTACTTACGATGCTTCTCATATGTTACATACTGTGATAAAGTTGTGCGCTACCTCGAACTTTACTTCGCGCTGGCCCACTCAATATTTTAGTCTTGACACACGATGCTGTGCTGAAATTTTAATAGAGAGTCAACAATTGCGGCTTTCAAAATTTTGCTACCACGTAAAATCGCTCCATTTCTGTGTCAATTTTTGTTGCAATTTGTGTAAAAATTTCTCCTATATAAAATGCACACATATTTTTAGTTTTTACATTTATATAGCTCTATCTGTACAAGTCAAAGATAATGCAAAACAAAGTAAAATTGATCAGAATTAGCTATACTTCTATTTTGGAAAGTAAAAGAAAAGTATATACGTATATGTACAGGAAAACTTTATCTCTTGAAAAAATTGAGTATCAATTATAATTATACTTCGAAAAAAAGATATAACGATATTGTAGAATCTCAAGTCTTAACATTTCGACGTAAAATGTTTTCAAAGCATATCTAATAGCAAAATCATTTTTTAGTGCTTGCAAGATGGTACTTGGCTGCTCATCGACCAGGTTAATCTATGCAGCCCTGCTGTATTAGACAGGCTTAATGGACTGTTAGAGCCAAACGGTGTTCTTAGTATCGGTGAACGAGGTGTTGATGGTGACGGTAATGTCGTTACTATTAAGCCACACGAAAATTTCCGCTTATTTTTAACCATGGATCCCCGATACGGCGAAATTTCCAGGTAATTTCTTCTTTGATTCTCTAGCAATCAGTAATGTAAACGTTGCAGTTATGATTTTACGACACAGTCAATTGCGCGTCTAAAATTCAAATTTTTTTTTTATAGCACTTTTATCATTTACATATATCATAGTTGCAAACTTGATATTCACTGCCAGTACTAACAATCTATACTTTACGTCACATATGCTATAGATTTTCAGTACTGGCAGTGAATATTAGAACGCAGTTTATATTATACCGTTATATCATACCGTTCATTATCATAATTATCCGAAAACAATCAATATTTCAGAGCAATGCGCAACAGAGGCGTTGAGATTTACATGCTTGATCCAAAAAAGAATGTCGATTATGATGCAATCGATCTAAAATCGTTAGTGTTTAACGCTGGTGTCGTGAAATCAACGCATCGTGATGCGTTGCTTGAGATCTACGACAAAATGTCAGACGAGAGCGTTGCAGTAGATCGGCTTAGCATGATAGATTTGTTGCATACTGCGTTTCTGGTGAAACAACGATCGTTGCGTGGTTTCTCCGCAAAGCAATTGATCAGGGACTCATGTATTGATGTCTACATCAATGCTAGACCAACACGAGATCCTCGACTCAAGGAGTACTTTGTGTCTCTCATCGATCAGATTATTGAACAGTACACTGCGCATGATAATGAAATATCAGTAATTGACTTGAATGCTGCCACGTGGAGCCTAAAAAATTTGCACGATAATCCAATATTTACTGTAATGAAACAGCAAGGTTTGCTGTTAAATACAGCTGCTAAAATGTACAAATTACGTGGAAAATTGAATATCAGAAATAACGAAAAAGATGTTATTTCGACCAAGTTATTGAACGATTTCTGCAATCTCAGAGAAAATGAAGAATTTGTATTGAATGTTGACGTTGCTGAGATATTGCCATATTTCTTGTTAAACTTTTACGAGTTATCCTCGCAAAACGACGCGCCGCTCAGAAAGGAATGGCTCTCGAAGACACTGCGAGGAAACACAATGTTTGACGAACTTGAGAAGAAGAGCGCGTTAATGGCAAAAGTAATTACTCTGTTTAGTTTTCGGTCTGCAGACCGAATGAGAAGTTCGTTGCCTTGGGATTTGTGGCAGCTCATTGGAAGAACGACAGGTGATAAAGACGATAGCAGCGATACGAATAAACTGTTACTGTTACTATATGCGAGTAGTATGATACTCGAAAGTGGTTCAGCACCAACAGAAGCAGTAAGGAAGAAAAGCGTGATATCCGTGAAACAATATTCCACTGTTGTGCTAGAAGGTAAACTGTTTTTATATGTTCCTTTTAAAATAGTTCGTGTGTTTTGTAAATAGAAGTCACATTTTTTTAACTTACCAAAAAATTTTAATTGATAAATAAGAGTCAATACGCTGGATGTTGCGGAATATAAATATATATACATGTACAATATATTTACTTTTAGTAGTGTAAATTAAAACTTCAACTGCAAACCAAGGTCATTCATGTCTGCGCAAAAGAGTGAGCTTAAAAAGGGTCAAATTTCGCCCGTTTTGGGGTCTTCAAATTTTGATCTAAATAGTATGCTAAATGATAGCTTATGGTGAGATATTGATCGTAGAAAAATTTTAGATTGAATCTACTTTTCGTTTCAGAAATACGCGCGTTCCCCTCACCGATTTGATTCATTTTTATCCCACGTGCAGGCCATGATTAAGACTTCAACATGTCAAAGTAATAAAGCACAATATTCAGCCAGTTTCGAGAAAATCGATTTAGAAAAATTCAGGACTGCTGAAAAGTCTAACTTTTTAAGTATACGAGCAGTCCTGATTTTTTCAAAATCGATTTTCTCGGAACTGGCTGAATATTGCGCTTTATTACTTTGACATGTTGAAGTCTTAATCATGGCCTGCACGTGGAATAAAAATAAATCACATCGGTGAGGGGAAACGTCGTAGCCTCCCCTTGTAAGTTGAGTGAGAAAAGAGTATCGGGATCGTAACATATGTCACAAATAAATCAAAACTGTCTACTAGAACTCACTGATTTTGATGGGATAACTTCGCACACTTGTAAAATTATGACAAATAATCGACATATACTTTTTTTATATCAGAAGTGTATTCTAAAGGGTGACAACCTCTCAGAAGTGAAAGGAGATCTTCACGTTTTAATTAGAATTCATATACATTCTGCATGATTGAATATATAAAATGAATTTAAAAGGTTTTTGAAGTCGCTGATTAAAAAAAATTCCGAGGCTAGTATTTCACAAATCAAAATGGCGGACATTGACTAACTTTTATAATTATCAATCAATACGCAAAAAATGATTACACGACTCTGAACATCGAGGTTGTCACTCTTTAAAGTGCACTTCTGATATAAAAAAAATATATGTAGATTATTTGTCATAATTTTACAAGTGTGCGAAGTTATCCCATCAAAATCAGTGAGTTCCGATAGACAGTTTTGATTTATTTGTGACGTATCTCACGATACCGATACTACCCACACAGACATCCATCCATCCAGACAACCATTAGGCATCTATTAGATGTCGCATGGAGCTGTGGACGTCTAATAGACATCTAATGGAGTTTTTGCTCTGTGTGGGTATTTTCTCATTCAACTTAGTAACTTTGACCTCGCGTATCTTCGAAACAAAAAGTAGGCTCAATTTAAACTTGTTCTGCGATCAATGTCTCATCATAAGCTATCATTTGGCACACTATTTGGTTTAAAATTTGAGGACCTCAAAACGGGCGATTTTTTAGGATCATTCTTTACTTGCGTGTATAACTTACTAGCAAGGGAAGAGAGAGGGATTCAACTTCGCCCTAAAAAATGTTGTATAAGAGAGGACTGTACCGGCCAAATTTCAGATTTCCAATTACAACTTTGACACGCATAGTAACAAGACGAAATTTCGAGCAAACAATTCTGTAGAGTCCAACCGAAACTTCGGTTTCGGTTTCAGTTTTGCTTAGTTTCGGTCAAAAATCAAAGATTCGGCTTAGTTTCGGTTTCGGTAAAGATTGAAAAGGAGTTTCGACAGTGTAGCAGAAATTATACAAATTCGCAATACGCTGGTTAGCGCTACTGCGGCGATCATGCAAAATCTCTTTCTTGTGTTCTTCTATGAGTAAATGCTACTTGTGCTCGCGACAATCACGAGCGTAGGTTGGGTTGACGATGTTCTGTCGCATTGGTGAATTTGCCGAACATGATCAATGCGATTGAACAATGTAGACGAAGCCGAAAAGCGGAGAACGATACAACATTGTCTTATACAGACACGCGGCATACACACACTCGCGCACATAAGCACACACACATACACATGCACGCATATTTTAGCTCACCTTAAGTGTAAGGAGTATCTTAAATCGGTATCATTACTGCATCTGCATAAGGTATGGAAATCCTAATTTTAGGATTCCATATCTCTAAAACTATTGTTCACCGGACTTCGAGTCCATTGACCCTTTTGTTCTATGTGTTGATAACTATCATGTAGCAGAGTTTCAGAAAAATTAGCCAAAAATCATTTCTTATAAGAATTCTGTAGGATTCTTTCAAGAATATGTTTCAGAAAATATAACAGTATATTATGTGCGTGCGTGCGTGTGTGCGTGCGTGCGTTTTCAGTTTCGTTTTTAGTTTCGGCCGAAACTAAAGAAAAAGTTTCTGTCGGACACTAGCTGCAACTTTCATCTTTAATTTAAGCACTTTTGTAATTTGGTCAATTTCTTGCAAGGTTACGATTTTTTAAACGAAACACTACATTTCACTCGAGTTACTTTGTTTATATTAAAAAATGATTTAAACAAATTAATTTTGGAGTTAAAGTTAAACGTTTCGACTATTTATTTAGTCATATTCAGTAGCAAAACTATGTACACTTCTAAATTACAAAGATTAAATGTGTGTGTCTTGTTTGAATGTTTAGTACAAACTGTTTGTACAAGAGTTTGTACAAGAGTTTGTACTAAACATTCAAACAAGACACACACATTTAATCCTACTCTTGTACAAACAGTTTGTACTAAACATTCAACAAGACACACACATTTAATCTTTGTAATTTAGAAGTGTACATAGTTTTGCTACTGAAGATGACTAAATAAATAGTCGAAACGTTTAACATTAACTCCAACATTGTTTTTTACTGCACAACATCCTGCAACATTGGTTCATACTAGCCCAGTTAATATACACATACGATTTTATCTACTTGAACCTGAGGACAACCCTCACCATTTGACATTGTCAAATTAATTTTGTCCAAAATGTTTTGAGTGATTGGTAAACTAGGAGATTTAAAGATACTACGTAATTTTTTTCAGAATTGTTCTATAACTTTAACATAGAGAAAAATACAGTAGGAATAAAACAAAACGACAATATAAACGACCCTGGTTTGCGGATAGAAGGTGCTAAAAAAATGTGCAGTTTGCAGTGTTGCGCTTAGATAATTTGAAATAATCTAGATACAGATTAGATAAAACATATGCGTATCTCAGATAAGATAAAGATAATCCGATTTGATCATATTTAGATAAAAGATGATTTAGTTGAGATTTTTATCTAGATAATTTTAAGATATTAAAGAAGTTAGGAAATTAAATAATACATCTCAAGAAAATCTAT